TTTAAAACGCTAGAATAATTTAATCCTGTAAAACATCCATGTTATAGATATTTTGGCTAGTCAGTTTTGATGAAGAAAAGTACCTAGAGAATTACATTCTGTTTCATGATGGAAAATCAGTGTCCTTTCTTCCAATCATATGTATAAGGACTCTTAATGAGATACAGCAAAGCTTTAAAAACTAGAAAAGTAGTAGAATTGAATGAAGTTTTTTCCTTCAACCTCTAAAAAAGATTCTATCCTCTCTTACAGACAGCTGAATCAGCTCTGGAAATAATTTTTGCAGAACGACAAGAAATTTCCTTTGGGCAGATTACATTTCCTTCCTTCCTTCCTTTCTTTTTATTTCTTTTTTTTTTTTTTTTTGGTACTGGGGATTGAATTCAGGGACACTCTACCACTGAGCCACATCCCCAGCCCTATTTTGTATTCAGGGTCTCACTGAATTGCTTAGCACCTCCCCGTTGCTGAGGCTGAGGCTTTGAACTCATGATCCTCCTGTCTCAACCTCCTGAGCTGCTGAGATTACAGGCATGTGCCACCACATCCAGCCCAGATTAGACTTTTTAAAAAGTGTATTAAATGGGATTACACCCTTTGAACTCAGCTATTGGTAAAACCTGTTGACTTTCTAGCTTCAAAAATTATCCTTATTGATGCCCCTATCCCATCTGCTCCTACACAACAACCAGTCCCATTCCACTTACAGAGTAAGTGATGTCACAACTCTTCCACCTTGTCCTGCCCTGACTGAAAGTCCTCCATTGAGGGTTTGGATTTTATTCTAATGCAGCCAGAAGAGATACATAGCCTGTGCCCCAAGTGCTCCACTGTTTTAACTACCAGGACACTCTGCTGTTCTTTCATGATATCTTACCAAAATTCATACAGATCTTAAATATTGTGTTTGCTTTTTGCTTTGTTGTTGTTTTGCCTAATTGGTCATATGATTCACAAGTTCAGAGATTTTGTTTTCTTTCTGTTTTTGATTCATCTTCGTTTCCCAATATAAAGTTCAATGACTACTGTATTGATAGACTTTTTTCCTTTTTTTCTGAGGATAGAAACAACTAAGTATTCAATGCCATATAATAAGGATTATCTTCTTAGGGAAAAATATGAGCAAAACAAAAGTCCAAGTGTTGATGACAGGAATTTAAATGATTTAATCAAAATTGAGGACATTATTTTAAAAATCAATAGAAGCTTGTAACAATGAAAATAATACTGTGGGTATAAATATTTCCATTTCAGTGAACTTTGTTCAATTCCATTTTCTCAGTTTTATAACCTTGAAATTCATTCATGAAAGCTAAATTATAGGATACAGAGGTATGAATACAGGTTGTTTATGGAACACTGAGATTTGTCTGGAGAACTGAGGACATCCTAAGATTTAGAGAGGAGGAAAATAATTCTATATTGGTAAGGTATTTAGAGCAAATGGTACCTTAAGTAAAGACATTATGCTTTTTAAGAAGGTGTAACATGGTGAAAATACCATTTAAAAAAGATTAATTAGGCAAATTTGTAGAGGGTAAATTCAATACGACTGGGAACAGGACAGGAGAGCTAAAGGAATGAATTAGGAAAAGAAGAATCACAAGTTAGGTTTCAACCTGAAGATTCTGAAGTGTGAGCCAGTAAAATGAAAAGGGAAATAACTGGATCCTTAGAAAAGATCTGACAGTTAAATTTGATAGTGTATGTCAAAAAGCCTTAAGCATGAAAACTTTAGAACTTTCAAGTACCTATTAGAAAGACATATTCAAACTTAATACCAGTTAGGTATTGCAAACAGAAAGTCTTTGGTTTGAGTTCTATTGTATAGCATAATGGTCATAATAATAATGTATCATGTAATTCCAAATTGCTAAGAGAGTAAATTTCAAATGTCTCACCAAAAAAAAAGTGAGGTGACAAATATGTTAATAGCTTGTTTTAATCAGTTCACATTGCATATATATATATATATATATATATATATCAAACATAATATTGTACCCCATAAATATGATTATTGTCTGTCAATTTAAAAAACTATAACTTTAGTCGGTAAAGCAGAAATCAGAACATTCTTCAACTTTACAAATAGGGCCTAGAACCATTTTAGTGTGTCCAGGAGAAGAAATCCTGAAACCATTACTCCAAATAAACCAGGAAGTCATGCAATATGAGTCCCAAGCACTTTTTATAAAAAGGCAGAGTAATTCTTTACCATCCTGGGCTACAGAAATAGATGCAATGTCCAAAGATGGCTGCAAAGGGCACCTGGTTCATTTTTTCCTGGGGACTCTATCTGAACTCCTTTTCCACTCTAGACTGTGCACTTGACCCAGCTTACATTGAGAAAGAACATAGAGCCTTGTGCAGATACACTAAATGTCACATGTTTCAGTGACTGTCCTATTCTGGAAGGGAAATAGGTCCCACTCTTCCAATATGAAGTGTAACCTTACAGCAGCCTCTTGCGGTGACTCTACAGTTCCACAGAAATCTTCCGTAAGAGAAGCAGCAAAACCAGAAACCTTAAAGAGCTAAGGAGATCTAGAGGGACACCTTAGCTAAGCATACATCTGAGTCATCTTAAGAGACCAATCCCCTCCCTGTTTATCTTCAGAAATTGAGAATGTGTCCAACAGTTTTAAAAATGGTTCAAAGTCTTTTCAAATTCTAACCAGAAGACTCTGTTCTTTTGAATAAAAATCCCCCAACTTCAATGTATGTTGAAATCATACAAGGACCTTTCAATAATTTGAGATTTCTGAACCCTCCCCTAAAACATTTCTGTTTGGGTGAACCTGGCATAGCTTAAGCCACTGTCTCTCAGAACCTACTGTTTTTTTTTTTAATTTTATTTTTAAATTTGTTCTAATTAGTTATTTTTAATTAGTTGTTTTTAGTTTTTAGTTGTAGATGGACACAAGATCTTCACTTTATTTATTTTTTTATGTGGTGCTGAGAATCGACCCCAGTGCCTCACGCATTCAAGGCAAGCACTCAACCACTGAGCTACAACCTCAGTCCTACAATGCATTTTGACACATTGTACACAAATGAAACACAATTTCTCCTTCCTCTGACTGAACATGGTATAGAGTCACACCGGTAGTGTGATCATACATGTATATAGGGTAATAATGTCCATCTCATTCCACTGTCCTTCCCATCCCCACTCTACCTCCCATCCCCTCACTCCCCTCTGTACAATCCATTGTTCCTTCTTGTTCCCTGACCCCCATCATGGATTAGCATCTGCTTGTCAGAGGAAGCATTTGGACTTTGGTTTTGGGGGGTTTGGCTTATTTTTGTTATTTTTTTAAATAGAAATTTTCAAATGTACCAAGAGAATTTTTATAAATAATGCTTGAATACCTATCACTTAGTTTCTGCTATATTTTCCTCACACATTTATTCATTTTTCTATCCTTCTATCTATCCATCCATACTTGATTGACTTTTAATACATTTGTTGAATGAGTGAATGGGTGCTACTGTTTTGGTACATAGGCAGAAGTGGTCCATTCTGAGGTTGGCCTAAAACATATACTGATCTTCCTTGTTTTTGTGTGAGCCCAGGATATGGGCAGCTACATAATATTCCCTAAAGTATATTTCTGCTAAGTTCTGTATGAACCACTGGACTAGATGGGATTCAGAAATAAGGACAAATCTCGGTCTTCCAGGAGCATACTTGAATATGTTAGTGATAGGAAAAGAAAAAAAAGTAGAAAAAAAGTGGGCTAGTAATTGCTTTTTTCACAATAATAAATACTGATCAGTGATATCATTACATTAACATTATCTGATTTCTTGGCATTTCATGATTTAGTTGCATGAGTAGCTAAAAGAAATTAATGCTTTTGCCAATACCAGGAAAAGAGTATTTTATGATTCCTTGTTCAGTCAGTGACAATTGCAAGCTCACTGAAACCATGGAAATTTTGGCTTTTTAAAAAATTCTGCACATACCATGAGATATCCAAGTAATAGAAGCAAAAGAATAGCACATAAAAAGCATTTGTAATCTAGCCTAACTGCGGTCAAGGTTAAGGGCACCTCTGCCTAGTCTAGAAACTCAGTAGAGCAGGCTGTCCAAGTTCAGCTTTCTTTTCTCCTCCACTGTTTACTGATAGGTTCCCCTGCCCATCTATATTTGATTATACTTTTTGGACCCTGCATTTATTATTTTTGATTGCTCTAAAGTGATGTTTGCCTTCAAAGTGACATCCCGGGGCAGTGCTTTGCCATAATCTTTTATTAACCTTAACTGTGTCTCTTCATGTTTATTTTAACTCTCTTATTTTTAGAAGAAGGATTTGGAGAAGGTCAATGCAGTGTCTTTGCGATTGAATTCCAAAAGTAGTTAGCAGGGGTCCACATATATAAGGGTGTTGGATCATTGTGAACTGGGAATGCATCCAAGTTCATGCTCAATTGAGAATCCTCTGTTAAATATTTAAAAGTGAAAACAGTCTTTCAAAGTAGGCATGTGGGTCTGGGAAGCATAAAAATGGGTGAACACAGTACCCAGGTAGAATAGCAAAGGTGGCAGTTGGAGAGCAGGCTTGTTGTTCTTCCAATCTTGACTGTCTCTTCATGCTCTTACTCTTCTTACTTGGTGGAATTCTGCTTTCTGACATATTGGTGAACCCTGTCCCATCAGCTTTCATGTTGTTCTCCCATGGGCTTCCATGTGGCAATAATTGGCACAGCCCAGCGTGGACCTGACCTGGATTTGCATCCTTACTCTCGTGCTAGTGACTAACTGACCTTGAACAAGAAATGTAACTTTTCTAAGCGCCAGTCTCCTTACCTGTAGTAGGGAGACCTTAATGCTACCTTAAGATGTAAAAGGGGTCCAGCATGATAAGTCCTTTGGTAATGGTACTCTACCATTTAAATCAGCTGTCATATTGGATTAGCAAGAAATAAATTGGGGAGATAATGGTGTCCCATTTAGTGCAATTTGAGAGGAAAAAAAAATCTGCAGTGGACAGTTTACTTATAAAATTAAGCTTAATTTTATTTTGCAAAAAACAAGAAATGCATATTCAGTTATGATTTCTCTTTAAAACACGTGTTTGCTTTTTTACTAACATGCAAGTTAATTTGGCATGCTAATCATCTTTCTTTTTAGCTTTCCTTGGAATTTTTTTCCCCAGCACAAACAAGGGTGCAAATATTGTCAAAAACCTATTTACATTTTTACCTTCCAGAATTACTAACATTAATATTTATTGGGAGGAAAGAAAAGCAGCAAGGCTTGGTCTTTGGCATTAACATTTGATTCAGCAATATAATTAAAAACTTATATTTGCTTTTAAAATACACATTTCGAAGGGAATTTAATAAATCTTGTTTCTGCTCTACAAAGGAGCCACTACATCAAAGCATTTAACTGGAGCTGTCGAGTTCCTGCTGGTGGAATATTACTTCCAGCCTATTTATTAGCTTTTCTTCCTGTAGCTCCACACATGCCTTTTTTTTTTCTTCTAGTGAGTGAAAGCACAGAAAAGAAAATAATTTCCTTTCTCTTTCTTCCCCAGCATCATGCAAGACAAGGGACATCAAAAGTCTTAATATCTACATTTATCTGAATTTACTTTGATTATATTTTGTTTCTTATACTAATATGATTATGTATTATAATACTTACTTGTTTATTTAAAATCAACATTGTTGATTTCAAACTGACTTTTAGAGACATTTGAAATAATTCATGAACCATTTTGAAAGAAAATAATTGCCTCCAGCCTATTCTTTTGCATTTGAAGTAAAAGAATTTCAGGTATTAGCAGTTTACTAGAAAATACAACTTTAGGGAGTCCATATAATTTATTCACATCTTTTTATACATTGTAAACAAGGATAGGATACTTTTGAGAGTAGCCTATGAAGGTTTTTTTCTTGTAATCTATCTTTCAGCATAGAATAGGTATTAAGGGATCATTTTAAGTATAATTATGGTAAATCTCTTATGAACATATTTTCCAGGAAAATTTTATATGAAATTGTCCTGATTTAAAAACAAATTCCAAAGTCATAGATTTGCATTGAGTGAACATGGTATATGAGGTAAAGGCATCATATTTTCTATGGTATAATGCACAATGTAGTATGTACAAAAGAAACTAGAGACATCCATCTCAAACTCCAGGCAGGACACAAGAGTGCATAGAGAAGAGTGATTTTTTCAGGTCAGAGAGTGAAAGATGACACAGTAGTCACCTAAATCAACACGTTGTAAGCAACATAAATGTGCAATGCCATTTCACAGAATGCAAAAGAGATCAATTAGAAATTGTACTTTGATAGCCACATATTTTTGAGAAAAATTCCCAAGCCAGGCGAATGTGGATTGGGATGAAGACATAGGCAGTGTACACCACCATAGCAAAAATGGTTAGTAAGATGGTATTGAACATAGATCGCTCCCAGGGCTCCAAGACAGCACAGCAGCTAATGATTTGGTATTGATAGTAGAGCCAGGAGAAATACTCCTTCACACGCCTGAAATCCATGGCCGGCTCCTTCAAGCTGCAGAAAGTTTGTCCTGTTGAAGAAGATAACAGAGTAGAAGAAAAATGAAATAAGGAACAAAACACAGATTATCCTTAAATTTTCATAATCTTGACAGGTTAAAATCAAAGAATGTTAAGGATCACTGAATGGATTATTAACATGAACATTACATAGAAATAATACTTAACATATTGATAATAGAAAATAATTATCACTACCAAAAATTATTACTAAAATATTATTAGTAATATCTAAAAATGATAATTGTTAGTAATAACTCTCATGGTAACCATTCCTGAAAATTAAGGTCAACCACATTTTCTTTAGCTTTGTACACAAAGAGAGGTAAATGTGAACTTTTCTGTTTCCAACAACATATATCTGGCAGAAGACTTAAGGAATAGTGTGCAGAAAAGTTAATATGGCAAACCTGGGGCTGCTATCTTTAGAAGGGCCTGTGTACAAGTTTGGCCCTTGGCTTGCATCTGAGAACTTGGCTTTTTGGAATGTTCTTTCTATTCTATAAAAATACTAAACTTTAAAAACCATGTAATTTGTAGTGAATACCCACAGTATTCTGGTAGTCTGAAATTTTGAAAATTTCTAGGCAAAGGATGACCACATTGCCAGCCCCAATAGAAACCTTGGGCGCTGAGCATAGCTTCCCTGGGCAAAAACATGGCATATACAGATACTTTTCAAGCAATGGAGTTACATCCCAATAAACATATTTTAAGTTGAAAGTATGGTAAGTTAAAAAATGCATTTAATATACATAATCTATCGACCATCAAAGTTTAGCAACATAGTACATAATTGAGTATGGTTGTCTATCTTTATAATCATGTGGCTGACAGGGATCTGTAGCTCTCTGCTGCAGTCCAGCCTTACCAGGGTGTATATTGTGCCATGTATTATTGGCTCAGGAAAGGAACAAAATACAAAATTAAATGTATACTTTATATGAAGGTTCTATTGCTTTTACACCATCATAACCATTAAAAAATTCTAAGTAGAACCACAATAGGTTGGAGATGAAGGAGGTATTACCACACTTTTTTGATAGTACAGAAGGGAACACATCCACGGGAGTGTCATATCCTGTCGATCCTGTTGTGTATAGTTTTGCTGTGTATCTAGGATGAATCTTTATGGTGATTTGCTGAATATATGAGTGGTCTGGGCAACACCCCAAACAAATGGAAGGCCCAAAGGATACCTTCAGATGATCACTGGTTTGGGGCACAGAATTTATCAAAACTATATAAACAAGTTTTTCTGGCTTTCAGATAGCACCACAGTTATAACCACATGTAAAACTTTACAGAAAGAAGAGCTCCTACTGTTTCTTAGAAAAGATCCCTTGGATGATTTTACAGACCTGTATAGACATGGGAGTGAGTACCTATAGGAATTAGGCTCATTCCTATACCTCTTCTGCTTATTCCTAAGAATGTGACACATCATCAAAGTCTGCTTTGATAACTTTTACTATCCACTCACAGGAAAAAAATTTTGAGGATGATTTCTATTTTCTGGCCTGAAAATATCTCCTTTTTCTTTCTTTTTCTCTTTTTTTCTTTCTCCCTCCCCATCCTTTCTTTTTCTTTTTTTCTCTCCCCCCCCAACCTTTTGATACTGGGATTAAACCCAGGGATACTTAACCACTGAGCAACATCACCAGTAAACCCTCCACCCCTTTTCTTTTAGACAAGTTCTCACTAAGTTGTTTAGGGCTTGGCTAAGTTGCTGAGGCTGGCCTTGAACTTGTGATCCTCCTGCCTCTGCTTCCCTAGTTGCTGGGATTTCAGTCATGTACCACCATGCCCAGCTTTTTTCCTTTTTCTTTAACCCTCTTTTGAGTAAAAGCAAGATGCTTTTGCTAAGACCGTGAAGTTCTCAGGCTATAGGGAGATACTGATCCTTGTATACTGGATCCTAGGACGATTCCTGGCATAAAGAGGTCATCAGTAAATATCTCCTGAATGAATAAAAAAATAAGTGAATGAGAAGTAATCAATTTAAAAATAACCATAGAACTATGTCCCAATCTAAGTGAGACATAGTTAGCTATTATTGATTTTAATATGGCTTAGCTTTGAAAAGAAGTAATATATTTGATAAAGGATCATTTCCACAAAAACTTAAAATGGAAAGTCCATGTGTGATGAGATCATAGTTATCTGTAATAATGGCCAAAATTATCCAGATAAATGGATAATTTTTACTTTTCTTTGAAAAGAAAAGCCAGTCTCCCATTTTTCTTAGAAGTCAGGCATGAGAACTAAGCAATTAGATTTAAATGCAGTTGATCTTGGGAAGATATAACTGCTAATGTTCTTTTTTCCTCCCAATTCTGACTGCAGAGAAGAAGAAAAAGTGAATAGGGTTAGGCGTGAAAGAAAATGAGTGACGGAAGGAAGGTGTCTTCATCTGTTTGTGTTGTTATAATACAGACTCTCACAGTTCTAGAGGTTGAGTAGCCCAAGATGTAGGTGCTAGCAGGTTTGGTGTCTGGTGAGGACCCTGTATCTGCTTCCAGGATGGTGCCTTGAAGGCCATGTTCTTACATGGAAGAGAGGATGGAAGGGCAAAAGCTGAATGATGTGTGAAGCCTTTTTTTTTTTTTTTTAAATAAAAGCCTATACCCTGTTCACAAAGGAGGAGTCCTCAGGAACATCTACAGGCCTTCTCTCAATACTACTTCATTGGTGATCAAGCTTCAACATGAATTTCAGAAGAGATACAAACATTCAAACTGTACCAGAGTGGTTATTTTTAATAAGTGGCATTATCCCAGCCACTGAGATTTCCCACATTTTATAGGATGATACAATAGTAAATATTAGGAGTTATCATTATTTGAGCTTTTAGGCTGTCTACTAGACAACTTTTAAACATCTTATTCATGGCTACCCGTACTGGCTTCCTCCTAATTATTCAGAGTTCGAGGCAGTGCCAGGTAACTGATCAGGAGCCTGGAGTCCAGTATGTTAATTAGGTATCTATGCCAGGGTGTGCTAGATGAAGGTGCATTACTCAGAGCCAACTCTGTACTGAGAGTCAGTTTAAACTATTCTTAATACTCTTTTCAATTTTATAATGAGATAATATTGCTGATTTAGAAATATCATTCACCTTTTTTCTTTATATTATAGTTTTTTAAAGTGCACTAATTAATCTTCTGGTGATTGCTTTCTCTTTTAAAATTAATTCCTTGCTTGGGCAGTCTTGGTGGTTATTGATTATAGTCTTATGAGAGACCCTGAGCCAGAGATACCGAGATACCCAGCTAAGCTACATCCAGATTCCTGAGCCATAGAATCTGTGAGGTAATCAATGTTTATTTGTAAAATACTGGAAGGTAACCAATCAATTAATCAATCACTCAAAGAAATAACCCATAAAAAGCATAGAAACATGTATTATACCAAAGAAGGAGACATAGTAAGACCTTGGTCACAAATACCCCAAATCTGCTATGATCTGAAATATGGTCATTTCAAATACATTTTCATACTGCTAACAATTTAAGGAGTTAAGATTTAATTTTTTTTTCCTAGACTGTTTCTACAATCTGTCATTTCTTAGCCCTCTGAGCAGTCAGCTCTGACATGGGAAAAGTGCTTTTATTGTCAACTATCACTTTAATCTCATGAAGTCTAAAAGTCATTCCACAAAAAAAAACATTGATTGTCCCCCTTTCTTTGATTCTCTTTCCCCCTATTGATTATAAGCAATTTTAAAGATTGTTTATTCATTGTTTCTTATGATGAAAAGGTGAGAAGACAGAGAGAGTTCGTTATTATTGGTAGGCCATCTGGTACAATCTATTGTTAGAATGTGCCCTATTTTTAGATTCTACATTTGCTTAGGTAATATAATTCTTCTTCCTTGTGAGTCCATTTTATTAACCCCTTATGGGACTATATGCATGATTTTAAAAAACCACTTTAGACAATTTGATGAATAACATGGGTAGGAGAATTCATTTTTCATTGAACAAACACCATTTTGGTATAACTATGTGCCTCTGGATAGTAATGGCCCCAGAAGGACTCTGTTCCAAAAAGCATTGCAGGCAGGAAATGCTGTTCTGGAACACATAACAAGCAATGAATGAGGGGCCAGGAATGAGCAATAAATAGAGGCAAAGAAGATAGAAAATGCTAAGAAGGACGTTGGAAAAAGAGGCTGAATTTAGGCAAATAACTTGATTAAATGTAGGCAACCTAGAACCAGATGAGAGCATATGTCTTAGTCTGGAGTTTTCACAATGAAATGTTAAATTTGCTTACTTACTTCTTTAAAGACTTAATGCCATATCCCAGTGAAGGGCTTGAAATATTTACTTTATTCAAGCACACCATGAATCTCTTTGTTTTTAGCTCTATGCTTTTTTAAAAAATGATTTACCATGTTTGGAAATATTCTTTAAAATATTTCCTCTAAACTGGATGACTTTTAAAACCCACTTGTACCTTTAATGAGGTTGTACATTCAAAAGTGGCACTGCCTAAGCAGGTGGTGGCATGTCTTCGTGGGTGCAGTGCCTGGGACGCACTCTAATATGGTTTTGACTCTGACATGCTGAATTATTTGATGATACCTGCTTTAGACTGAATGTTTGTTTTCCCCCAAATACTATCTTGAAATCTTAACCCCCCAAATGATAGTACTAGGAGGTGGGGCCTCAGGAAAATGATTAGGCAGAGCCCTCATGAATGGAATTAGTGCCCTTATAAAAGAGATCCCAGAGAGCTCTCTTGCTCCATCTGCTTCATGCGGACACAGGGAGAATAGAGCTGTCTATGAACTAGGAAGACGCCCTCACTAGACACTGACTCTTTGGAAGCCTCAGTCTTGGATTCCCCAGCCTTGAGAGCCATGAAAAGTGAAATCCTATTGTAGGTGAGCCGCCTAGAACATGATATTGATATAGCTGCCAGAACAGACTCAAACAACATTCTCTGGTAAAGAGGAGGGCAGTCGATTTTAAGATTTTAAAAGGGATCATCATACTGCCGCCTGGGCTTCTCAGGAGGCCCTGTTGAAGCACAAAGCAGTTGAAGCTCCCAGTAAGAACTGGAGAGGGGAGTCACACAAAGTCATCACTGTCACCTGGAGTGAACAGATTGTTAAGCAGGGAGAAAATCCCTCTCTGAGGCTTTTTTTTTTTTTTTTAAATCATGAGAAAGTCTCCTTCAGACAGGACTAGAGCAGTATACATTTCAACATTACCTAGAGGATTCGATTGATCAGAATCTCCCTAATGAATAATAAAACAATTTACATTTTCATCGGATTACTTGGAGTTTAGAAAGCATTTCTATTTTACTTGCAAAGCCCAGAGTATGTATTTGGGAATAAAGAGAGTGGTTCAAATTCTGACTCCTTTACTTACTGGCTATGTGACCTTGGGCCAGTTACTTAATTGTCCTTGGCCTCGATTTCGTCACCTGTAAAATGGAAATAATAATTCCTATTGTTTAGGGCTGCTGTGAGGAACAGAAATAATGCAAATACAGCATCAATCCCAGGGGCTCGAATGTGGAAGAAATGCTTAGATAGGGAGACAGAATCTAGCTATAAGAAGACTTTCCTTTCTCCTTTACTTCCATTTATCCATTGAAAATAATTATCAGCATCCTGGAAGTTGCTTTCAGAATATTCCACTGAATTTTTTATGGAAATTGCACTGAATATTCCATGGTGAACAAGACAGGCATGGCCATTCCATGGTCTAGTCTACCAATACATAGTTCAAACAATACTTAGCTCCTGTACTGGGTAGCTAAAATGGAATCTTAAGAGTGCTAGTGGACTGTAGAGATCCCCTAAGGTGAATCACTCATTTTAAAGAAAAGGACCAAGCCTATGAGTTAGTATTAAATTGATATTAAATTGGTTGACATTAGTTTGTCAAGACAAATTCCAGTTATTGACCCATGGATTGGCATGGATTTATATACCATAAATTAACAATGAAATAAGAAGTAGAAATTCCAATGAAGATTTTCTGTGTTCTTCTCAAAGCCAAGCAAAGACAAGGGACCTGGGTGTGAAGGATATCAGGGAGGCCTCAGTCCCATACTCTCTCAGTTTCCCCGGATCCTATCCTTTCCTTACATAAGATTTTTTTTTCTTTCTGACATTGGTTAGTTCAGATTCTGGTCTAGCAACTGAGGGTTTGAATGATCACTTATTGCAAATATAATTGGGAACCAGTAAAACCTAAGGTTTTTATTGGTAATGTACTCATGAGCATGGATGAAAGAACCATAGCCAGGCTACAGGAAAGAGAGGGAGGATTGTTAAGAATCAGAGTGAGGGACTGGCTTCTAGAAAGAATTCACTGAATGAATAGGGACACTGGAAAATAATCAAGGACTTTGAAGTCCCCTAAGAGATTATTGCATAATTGAATGAAGAATTAGTTGCTCTCTTTTTAAAATTTGTAATGTTACTACCCTTTGATCAATAGGTGAAGATTCTTTTTTCTTGCTATAGTTATGTGCAGTGAGGAAGGAGATAAAGTTTCATCTCTCTTCCAGACTGAAAGTGAAAAGACCTGGGATACTTGATTCAGGGTCAGGACTCCCTTCTGGCTAAATGGATAAGAAAATGAACAAGTACAACAATTATAAAAATTCAGGTGGTAACATGAACTGTGAGGGGAGCTTGCAAGAGAAGTGGTGTCTGGGCTTGCTCAAAAAGTTTATTGTTGTTTTCTGCTCTGGGGAATAGGAGTGGTAGGAAGTTAGATAATTGTGATGCAAGATGAGTTGCCGGTAATTTAGGATGGTGGCATCTACCTTGGGAGTATTGCAGAAGAAGTGATCTTGCAGTTCCTCCTCTGCCAAAAAAAAAAAAAAAAAAAAAGGAGTACTTCACATTATTAGACTTTTTCTGTCAGGGATTTCTTTTTCTAAAAATTAGGTTCCCTCTTGGGTTAAAAAAAAAAAAGTCAGGGGGCTAACATGTTTTAGGTGACATTTACTTATACAACATTAGAATCAGGAACTAAAAAATGAGGAACAGCAATTAATTTGTAGCTAGCTCTTTCCCAACTCATTTTGAAATTCTATATCAATTACCCAGCTGTTTCTGTGCTTCACATTCAGAAGTTGAAATCTGAGAAGTGAGTGATAAAAGTTTTCTGCCTATTGAGGAGATGCTCTCTCTAAAAAGAGACTATGCTTGTATTCAGAAGTAGCTTTCTTTGAAAAGAACTCAGTATAACTTATGCAAATACAAGCCTTCCTTTAGTTAAGTAATTCACTTATTAAAAGGAAAAAGGAAAAAGAAAAAAAGAATGGCAGTGATTTCCTTCTGAATAGTACAGTACAGAACAGGAAGGTAAAGAAGAGTAAGTTTACAAGGAAGACGAATAAGCACTGCTCAGTTGTTTTAGGTCAGCCTCAGCAGTGATTGCTCACATTGGTAGTATGTATCCACGATGTAATCTCATGAAAATGGCTTCCTACCTCTACAGTCTTCCTGTAAATAACCCACAGGACTAATCATTAAAAAATTAATAATACTAAATAAATAAATAAATTCCAGTAGAAGATACATGACCAGCACTCCTCAAAATTCTCAGTCATCAAAAACAAAAAACAACCCCCCCCCCAAAAAAAGTGTGAAAAATGGTCACAGCTCAGAGGAGCTCAAGGAAATGTAATGACTAATTGTAATGTGGTGCCCCAGATGGAGTCCTGCATCAGAAAAATGATATTAGGTAAAAACTAAGGAAATCTCAGTAAATTAGGGAATTTAGTTAATAATAGTGTATCACTATTGTCTCATGAGTTGTAACAAATATGTCATACTGAGGTAAGATTTGAATAGGGGAAATTAGGTTCAGGATATGTGGGAACTCTCTGTAGCATCGTCTTGATTTTTCTGAAAATTGTTCTAAAAAATTAAGATTGTTCTAAAAAATTAAGTTTATTTTAAAATTTCAAAGAAAAAGAATTAGGAAGTTCTTGAAAGGTCTGGAGTTATCTTTGTTCTAAACTCTAGTGAATTTTGCTTATGTTAGTTATCTTTGCCTTATGAAAATCTTTTCCCAATAACTCTTGTAGGTAGGTTAAACAATTCCTCCTACAAGGGACTGGCTTTAAACATTTTAAAATACAATAGGAAAAAATACAGTTTGCACTGTGATCCATTGTACGTACATGATCATGTAACTGAAACAAACACTCTCCAAATAATACTATCTTTGAGATGGATGCTGATATTTTATGTTCTATTCTCTTCTCTTATATTATTACACTATATTCTACCCTATTCTGTTATTCTCTCTTTTCATTAAAAATATCCCAGTTGTGATATACCACATAGATTTCTTAGCCCACTGATTGCAACTTACAATTGGAAAACTATTTTAAGGGCTTAACTCAAGGGCTAGCTTCTCTAAGATATATCTGTACTGTTCAATAGAGCAGCCACTAGGCACATGTGGAAATTTAAATTTCAAGTGCACTTGTGACATGTGGCTACCATATTGAATAGCATTTATGTAGAATATCTCCATTACTGCAGAAAGTTTTATTGTACTTTACTGCAGAATATCTCCATCTCTTGGGCTAATGAAACAGCTTAACAACTTGTCTCCCTTTGAGATTACAATCTTCCATGCTGCTGTTATAATTAACTTTCTAAACATAGAGTTCATTTTTCTGCTTGAAAACCTCCAATGGTTCGCCATTCTTATGAAATGAAACATTTAAGGCCCTGTACAGTTTGATTCCTTCACCTCTCCAGCTTCATCTCTCAACTCTCCTGCTAAATACCATTGATTCTAAATCTTCCATGTTTTAGTTCACACTCTTTTCTTTCCTAGAAATTTTCTTGTGCCTCTTCTCTGCCAAATAAAATCCTGTATATTTTCAAGGCCCACTTCTTATATTGTCTCCACTGCAAAAGATTCTCTGAAGACCCTCCCTGTCTGCCAAAGAAATACATTGCTTTCTACGTGTTACCATTGTAGCAACATTTCAACACTATACTGTATTAAAATTAACTATGTACAACCGATTTCCCCACTAGCCTGGGAGGTCTTCAAACATGTGGAATGTGTAGCATTTAATTCTGCAGTATCTGGCAGGTAAGTTGGTTGATTGACTGACTGACTGAATAACCAAAAGTTGTAAGGTTATTGAGGGCAGAACCACACTTGGGCTTATTTAATAACTCAGGATGATGAGGGAGCCCATACAAGTTGCTTATGAATTCACATTGCCTGCTTTCAGGCAATGAGTTTTGACAGATTATTTTCTGCAAATTCAGTACCATCTGTCTTTTTGAAGGATGGAAGAGAGATAGTACTATTTTTTTTAAGAAACATATAAAATGCTTTTGTAGTTTCTCATAATGTTAAAAGTTCATGGACTCTGTGGAGAATAAGAAACTCGTGTGAGGTGGATTTAAATCCCTCTAATGTGGTTTTTACAAGTGCTTCTCCTAACTGAGTAATAATTTAAGATTAGCAGGTAGAAAGTGGTTCTAAAGGAAGTAATCCCAGGCTGGAGCACTGGTAGACTGAACACATTGCAGCTTTCTCATCTCATAATGTATCTTTGTAAGAATTAGGCACAACAGGAGCTTGCTGGGTTTTTAGTGTCTGTTTATCTGGCTCTAATTTTTCTGTTGGTGACCCCAATGTTTTTGATGCCCTACAGAAAGTTCCTTTCCTTTTCTTCTCCTTGCTCTTTTTCTAATCTATTTTACTTCATATCCTTGGGCATGTTGTGAAATCTTTCTGTGTCATAGTTTCTCCACGTGTAAAAGATAATTGATAATTGGAGATAGTTGATAATTGCCTGTAAGTCTGTCTCAGTGATGTGGTAAGGAGTGTAGGGATGGGTTTTGGCTCTGAAAGTGATAATAAGAATAATAGCAACTGCAGTGTCTTATATTGGTGGAGGAGCCTTAAACTGTTTGAACGACTTTGCTAAATTATAGACTCAGAGAGTTTTTGTGGACTATCCTATAATGGTTACTTCAATATGGAGTGGTTTGTCTAATCTATAGGGAAAAACAAAACAAACAAACAAACAAACAACCCCCCCAAAAGCCCAGCCCTGTTTGTGTTTGCTAATTGAATTGCCCAGTATGTTAAATATAAATAAATAACTCTAAGCATATATGCAGCCATTATTGCAAACCACGACTTAAAAGGCATTGCAATCTCTAAAGAAATTTTCAAAAGTGTCTTGGGCAGGGCCACTACATTCTGTTGTGTAGGCTATGCACTGCACAACCTTATGTGATGGTTCTTGTCCTGGGGGGCCTAATACAAGCTGGTTATTCATGTAAGCACCATCTGATTCACAGAGATAAAGACCCTTCCTTCCTTCCTTCCTTCCTTCCTTCCTTCCTTCCTTCCTTCCTTCCTTCCTTCCTTCCTTCCTTCTTTCCTCCTTCCCTTCCTCTCTTCCTTCCCCCCTTT